ATACTATACTGCAGGCATACCGTAGACGTCCAGCTAATTCAAAAGCTCGTAGACCAAGTATCTCGTTCATCCGAAGGAGAGGTAACATCGATTCATATTGATTCTTTGGTTTCCAAATGGTTAATTTCATTTTCTTTGCTTTACGTACTTAATCTAAATGCATGTTATTACAATATGTAAAAATGTATTAAATACGTGTAATCCAAATATTGGTTCAGATTAGAAAACGTTTTGTAATCGTGTTATCCGACAGACGTGACTTTGAAATATTATATCAGAATTTAAATTACTATTAAATAGATACGTTTAAATCATATTATACATCAAGGCATTTTTGATATTACTTAAAATAATTACAATTACGTCTGGACAAATTTTTATGTTTGTTAATGTCACGAATTGGCAAATGAATCATTTAATTGCAAATATATTTATTTAGTTCTCATTTGAAATAACTCGTGGAATATTTGTTATTTCGAAAAAGACTATTTCCGGAATAATTGTAATAGTTGTAATAATTTAAAGGTATTTTAGTATTTTCAAAGTATGAATGTGAAAATTTCATCAATTAGATAAATCTAATTGTGATTAATCGCAAATCGATCGATACATAAGAAGGTTAATTATAATATAATGTTATAATTAATTATAATAAATATAATAAAATGTTAGTATTTATAAAATATAAATATTTTATTCCACTTTCTTAGCTTCTCCGATGGAAGAACGAGCGAGTTGACACGTAACCAAGATTATAATTTGGTCAAATAAGTTCATGTATAATAATAATAACGATTAAAAAACGATTATGATCCGAATCAACATTTGGAAAGACGAAATTTGGAGAAAAAAGTAATAAATCGGGAAAGCGAAATACTGATACAGGTTTTGGATTAACAGACTATTTAAATTTTATATTTAAATGTAAATTCGAAAGAGTATATATTTTATAAGTTATTCATTCGTGAATAAGAAATTTTAGATCAAAAGATTCGTTATTTAATATTAAAACCATGTTAAGAACTGATATATATGTATTTGCTTACTTCTCATATTCATTACTTTTTATACATTAGGAAATATATATATGTGGTTTGGGTGGATTGGCTAAAATAGTGTTGTTTGCTTCTTAATAGAATAAAATAAGCTTATACATAGACTGGCGGCTATGAAACAAGAGAGATTCGCTACGGGCACACTCGACTTGGACTTCTTACTGACATACTAGCACACTCTTCAAGACTGCAAAAATACTCGTAGAGACTGACTCGCCCGCGCCGTTGCACCCTTATTTAGCGACTGTCTACTATCACCAAGCGCGGAATATTCCGCGAGCCGGGACTATCTACTATCACCGAGCGCGGAATATTCCGCGAGCCCGCGACTCTACTATCACCGAGCGCGGAATATTCTATTTATAAAATAATATTTGTTACTTTCCTTTTTCATAAAAGAATGCAAAATGCGATGTTTGCGATGTAACATTGTGTACCAATCGTTTTACACAGTACAGTTTTAATAAACTCCGCGAACAATTTGGATGTCGTTTATTGCACTCTGGACGCACCCCTAAACTTTCACTCGACTCTAACACAAATATTCTTTGCAGTCAATCCACTTGCACACGGTCACTTTCATTCTAAGCCTAGACACTCTTGACATTCTTTCAGGGCCGTACTTATTCCAATCCTACATATATATATATGAATAAAAATTTTCATTTCTATCTTACTTACTGTATTATTAACTTACATTTAACGTATATACTTTTTCCTTTCTGTTACCTCTCCCAAATTATCGTACTGTAAATTGCAAAATGGATAGATCAACTTGCAAGCTCTCTATAAACTTACTCGCGTCTTTTCACTGCATAATGTGATCAAAGGTAATCGATATATGTTAAACTGTAATATTCATTATTAACTTCGGTACAATACTTATTAAAGCCTGATAAGAGATCTCGCGTGTCATCTTACTCGTTTATTTGTGTCGAGTAACCATGTTGTTTCAGAGAAGGGTGAAGAATATATTAATTTCAACACGCGCTCTATCATTGGCAAAATTAGATTAATGTGAAATAAGAAAGATAGAAACAGGATTAATTCATTTGTATAATTTTTATATCAATTTACAATTATACGTTATACACATGGACGGTTTTTTAGAAAACATTTCTATCCACAGATCTTACTACCTTATATACCTCTTATTTACCATACATACTTCAGTATGTTAAATGTAAAGAGGAAATAAGATTGAAATAAATAATTTTGTTTATGGAATAAAATAAATAATAAAAAGTGGAATAATAATTGAATGAAATAATAAAAAATAGAATAATTAATAATAAAAAAGTAAAATAGAATAGAATAAATATTGGTATTGTTAGTTATCTTAACAAAATAATTTTCATACTTTATATAGTTTATCATATATTATAGTTTATTTATAAATTCTTATATAGTACAAGTGAAAATATTTCTTAACCTTTTAAATTCGAGAAGCGATCTTCAGTCAACCTTTAACAAAATTTTGGAAACTGATATTAATTAATATAATAAATTTAAGATAATGTAATAATAGTGTGCGAGGTATTGGAATTAAATAATTCTACGTATTAATTATTATATCATCTTCTATTTACTGTTCTCAAAAATATAGTCGGCTTTATGGCAGAAAATCTTTGAATTTTTACTCTTCTGTAATGAAAAAATTGTCGAGTGCAAAGGGTTAATGAAGTCGATTATTCGTTTACCTATATGTCTTCATTTTAATTATTATCTTCTGTGTTAAAAAAATACATTTCAGAAAAGACAATCTCAATTAAAATATAGCTTTGAAATTGCTATTTTGCATATTTTTCATAATTTATTGTTTGATATTATTAGTATAAGTTCATTTCTAACTAAAAAAATCGTTTGTGTTCTTTAACAATTTTATCAATTATTATTAAATACTAAAATTTAACAAGTTTATAGTTTTAAAAACATTACCCGAATATATTAACGTTTACCAATATTTTTTAGTCGATTCAATCCCTTAAGCATCTTAATGTACTATACGAATAAATGGATTTATACCACTTTCAAATACAACCGCTCATATGTGAAATATAAGTTGTATTCTGTTAATATAATCAATGATCAAATATATTCGTATAAAATTGATTTCCATACAATGAAATTTTTTATATGTAGTATAGATAATTTGTTATGTTAGTGATTAACAAAGTGTTGCGTTCTTTTAACACGCGGAAACGTCGGAAAAATATGTACCAATTCAAAATAAACAAATGCGCATAATGTACCTTAAAATTTATAGGAATTTTTGCTTTATTGGCTTGTTTCTCCTACAAATTAACTCTATCTCTTCACACACTGACCTGACAACTACTCAGACCAATCACTCAATAACCAACTTAGTAACTGACTCTATGACTAACTCTGTAACTGACTCTGTAACTGACTCTATAACTGTCTGTGTCTTCCAGAACGGGCTCTTTTAACCGTTTGAGTCCCAGAGGGTTTTTGAAAAAACACTGTCGAGGAATCCCAAGCAGTGCCACTGCACTGCCTAAGCGGGTACGATAAAACCCAAACAGCGCGATAACGCTTCTTCTATTTTATGTCAAGAAATCCCAAGCGGCGCAATAGCGCTTCGTTTACATTATGGTGATGAATGGCCAAGTGGCGCGATAGCGCTTCAACTTGGACAGTCGGTGACGCACCGTCAGCTGTCGAGAATGTTCGAAATGTGCTGGGTTTTCTCGACATGAAATCTGAACAGCGCGATCGCGCTGCTTGGGACTCAAACGGTTAAAGCCCGTCTAGAAGACAAACGCTTCCCCGAAGGAGGAGAAACTCCCTCTGCCCCAAGGTCAAGGGTGGAGGAAACTCCTCCCTCCGAGTTAGCACCTCCGAAGGGGCCTAAGCATCCTCGCGAGGACCCTTCCCGAGAGGCGACCGCAGCCGCGTCACCCTCGGTTTATACCGAGGCTAGCCGAGGTTACACGAGGCCACCCCACGTGATCTGGCTCCGACCTCCTGCGGCCATCTGACAGCCAGATACTATCGGGCCCTATAGACCTATGTTCCAGACAAGGACAGTCTACCTTAATAAACGAGCGTCCCTCGTTTACCATTCCTACAAAATTATATATATAAGAATTTTAATAGATATAAAAACCTTACAACGAAATGAAAACGAGGAAAAACTTTCTTATCATATGTTTCATAACTTGCAAATTTTAATTAGCTTCTTCAGGATCGAATAAATATGGAGTAATTATTGTTCCATTATCTTAAATATCGCGTGAAATATGTACATTTTATTTTCAATCGCCTACGACATTATAATATTGTAGAGATAGGGTGGGGCAACACGAATAATACTAAAACTATTATTTATTAATCCTAAAATATAACACAGAATGCGCGGTGACGATAAAGACTACGAATATAATCTATTTATTAACTAAACTCTTATAACTACAACGACACAATTACCTAACAACACGTTTATACTTCGCAACACTAATACACCTTTTTTCACACTCTCTCTCTGAACTCTCCTATACTACACGTACCACGACCGACTCCACACTCTCTCTCTCTCTCTCCACTCACGCCCTTGCATCCCTATTTAAAACCATCCATTTTATCCTCTTTCATACCTATTCTCTCTTTCCAATCATACTTTCCCACGCACTCCTCGCAATCTTACCCTCAGCGGGTCACTCAGCCCAAACACTCGAACGCATTCCTAAAGCCACTCTTCACTTTCATCCGATACATTCATAAACATCCCGTCCACACGATCCTAGCGCACGATCATTCATCCTTTCGCACGCACTCTAGATAACCCGCTCATCCTACGATACCACAATATTAAGTACGCGATATCATTCTAGGATACAATATATGATAAACAAGACAATAAAGATAGAGGTAATTTCAATTTTGTTATAATCGAATGTCAAAATTAAATAGTATGTCATCTTATTTTTATTTATTTCGAAGTATCGAAACAGGACAAATTAAACGTAGAATCACATTTTTGTAAAACGTATATATGTTAATCTGAATATCCATAATATGATCCTTCAAAATATGCTTTTCGCATATCGTTCGACTTTCGTCGAATTCGTCTTCCAATTGGTTCTAAATCATTGTAACATCTATCGAAAACTCGCATTACAGCAGCTGTTGCATCGTCCTTCGACACCTCTTTTACAGCAAGTACTGATCTGATAGCCTTGTCTGTAACACAATCCTAAATAAAATATATATGTGTCAGTGAATTATATGAACTTTAAAGATCTTATTATACATTATATTTATCAATAAAAAAGAAGATAATCAAAATAAAATATTTAACGAAAAACTTTCATGATAAACAACTGTACATGATAAACAGCGCCTTAATGTTGAGAGAGAGTGTGTAGTGGTCGATCGAGAGTGGATTTGCTTTTAAATGCATTCTGCGAGAATTGTCTTGATACTGTTACGACCCCAAGACCGAACGTCCCAGATTAGGTGAAGGACTGTTTAAATCCTCATTGCTAGCACCCCTTGATTTGTATACACTCGTTTTCACCTAGTCACCACTTGAGTAAACCTTAGCAAGGACTAATATATCAGCCATAAGACGATAGGCATAAGGACCCAAATTGTTTAACACGTTGAATGCCATGGGACTCACCGGTGACCGGCGACGCGACCATTAGTAAAAATACATAATTAGAGTAAATATCGATATTGATAAATTTTTAAAATAGTACCATTGTTACTATAATGGTTCGAAGAAATTAATGCCATACAGAACATGCAAAAATAATTTTATCTATACAAAGAAAAGGTGAACCAAAACAGTCGGCACAATATGTCGCCACTTTTTTAGTGCAATTCTTTGCTCTCATTCTTCCTAGCTGATTTGAATTATTTTCATAGCACACTTTGCAAAATCGCCTTACATTTCGCACACTTCCAGGTTTCTTTTTAAATTCGTGACGACGTTTTTTCTGTACGTAATTGCTCCACGAAATGCAATCTTCGTCATCGGAACATTTCACTAAATACATCGCTAACTTCATCCTAAAATCGGGAATTGAAATATTTTTTCGAGTTGCTTTTTAAACAATTGATAATGGCAAAAATGGTCTACAGCGCCTCGGGGGTCACCGGTGACCCCCACCACGAAAAATACATTAAACGCGATTATACAACTCACCTTATCTGCTGTAAATAAAAATATGCATCGCATAATAAAATATTCATGTTGGCGCCATGGGCAATCCACGTAAAATGCGCGTGACAGTCAACGTGTTAAACACCCATCACCACCGAAAGACGTCGACGCTAACACACACCCCCAATATTATTCACAACCAATAAGAAGACACACACCCACCTCTTACATTTCACACCAACTAATCAGTAGATAGACAAAAATTATAAAACCACCGAGACAGCAGTGATGAGAGAGTTCTCCTAAAAATCTCACGAAAACAAGACAAGCACCAGGACCAAACTATCAGCCAAGACCCACCATCAACTCAACGCTAGAGTCAGTAACACGTCAGAACTCTGTAGTTCAACTCTAACCAGGTCTAGCTCTATTAATTTAGGGTAAGCCGCATCCCAGCAACATTGTCGCACGGGCCTTACAACCCCGAGTTGCAGTGTTCGAGACGCAACATATATAACACTCCGTCCTTCCAATAGTCTCCCAGTCTAAGTCAGGGCCTGCTAGAAGAAAGCCTTACTGACAAGTTCACTAGTAGCAGGCCCAGGACGAAACGCATCCCTTCCTTTTTCCTACCGTCCCTTTCAGCAACCCTGCCAATGAGAATCCAGACGACGACCGTCGGGGGAGGACTCCCTACAAACCCTTGGTAGGGCAACGTATTTTTCTATTGGTTAACCACTTGCGGTGCAAAGAAATTCACGGTTGCGGGTGCCAGAACAGTCGAGTGCAAATCACTTCGGGGCGCAAATATCACTGGTTTCACTATCACTTTCCATTTTACAGTCTGGGGTCAATACTGATAACTTTACACGATGAAGTGTAAGCAGAAACTGCGCCTCGGTAAAGAATTTAATTAACAGTTGACGTGCTACGCACGTCATTTTTCTTTCTGCAACAATCGTCTGACCACGTGTGTAACACGTCGCTGGTGTTCCGGTAACAGAAGCATTTCGACGTGCGTGACACGTCTTTCCACCGCAAGTGGTTAATACGAATGATGGTATTTCCGATTCCCAGGTGTATGAGTAGGGGTTGCAAACAGTTTTCGGGAAAACAAGATGAATTGTTACCCCATACGCCACTTTGCGTATATGGTGGCTAAACGTTGATGTTTCATCCTGTTTTACCTGAAGTTAGTGTCTGGAGAGACAATATGTTATTTTCCAATGCGAATAATAATACCGCCAAATCGGTATTTCGAAGCTTAACAATCAGCACTTTGAGCACTTAAAATAAGATAATGTAAGTTCCTTAGTTTTTGCAACCATTAATTGTCACCTGATTTCTTTGTTTTCAAGTTTACCTCGAGATCATGGTATTAACGATCAATGAACTAGCGATTACAACATTGCACTATAAAAACTAAACGTAAATAAAAAATAAAACGTGCAAGTTTCAGAGAATATTTCTTCTAATATTATACACGTTATATCGTTAAATTTGTATTAATGTCAATTATTTAACAGTAATTATTTATTACTATTAATCAGCATACAGGAACTTAAAATATATAGTTCCATTTAAAAGGTAAATAATAATTACCTTAAAACATCACAAACTATAACTATTAATTAATTTTATTAATTAATTTTCCCACAATATGTAAGCTTTCTTTCAATTTGTTTTATATAAAAGGAATTTAATCATACGAAATAAAATATTATCCGTTTCGTCCGAATCTTCTTGTCGACTGTATGAAGAATTCAGGCGAAGGTTTACGTCGTTCTAAGAACGTGAACTATTTTTGAAGGTATAAATATAATGTAATTACAAGATATCTACAGCAATTTACAATACGTATTAGCGATATGCGTTCTACCGTGGTGTCGTTTGTTTCGTTTTGATGTTTGCACTGTCTGTCGTCTTGGTGTCGTGTATTTTTATATGTTCGTCTGTTGCTGTCATTGGCTGTCGAGATGTCTAAGTGGTGGGTGTGTTTTTTCTCCTATTGGCGGCGTGTTCGTTGGAGGGATGTGCAGGAGGTTCGGAACTGGTAGGTGGAAGTGGAAGTTTAAACAAATTGTTAATTTGTTTATAGGTTTGGGAATTTCTAATTCTTTTATGGGGGTTGACTCGAGGGGTCAGTTTCGGAGGTCGAGGTGTCCGCGAATCGTGGGACGCTGGTTATAAACGAGTAAACCATCGTCTCTTCGATTCGGGTCCCTTGTTCTTGAGGGTATGCATGGGAATGGGGATAAGATAGAGGTCTGGATTTTTCCTGATGGAGGTAGAGGTTCGAAGGATGTTAGTTAAAATGTCTAATTGAAGGATTCGCGTCTTTATGGAGGAATATAACGCGATCGTAAAGACCGGCTGTTTTTGAGTTGGAATCTTAGAATATTGGGGGGCTTAAACACGAGGTTTTTAGAATCCTAGTCTAATCCATACTCAATAGCCAAAGACGTGTTATAAAACACGGTAATTCCGAAGAGTCACACCGAAGCGTATCTAACGGTCCTACAAGCCTGAGCTTCGGGCCCAGAGGAACGCCGTGGCCTTGGGAAAACCCATGACCTCGCGCCCGCTCAAGTGTCGTCCCACCCTTGCAGGAGAAGGCGCGTCAAGGGTGCATGGAAGGGTGGTCACGACACTGAGGATGCCGCTGATTGGAAAATTGGGACTTCTTAAAATAGCCAATCAGCGTGCATTCTAAACACGCCAAGGCGAGGAACCAAAACTCTCAAAAAGCCGAAGTCAGTTACAATCAGACCACCGAACAGTCATCGCGATAAAACAACCCTTACCAGCTCTAGACCTTAAAACAGTCTAAAGCACTCCACGCGAAACCAACCGGAGGAAACAACTTCGTTTGCGTCGAGTCGAAAACAATTCATATGAAAGGATAATTTTATGTATCATGAATTCATCTTACCCGATGTGCCTGTTTTATATGGAAAGGTGAGGCAGTTCCTCGATACATTGCTCCAAGGAAGCTGCAATGGCATTGGTTAGCTGCTCTGATCTCCGTACAAGCTAAATGATCCAAATTATTATAATCCAGTTTGTTACGACAGTAATCAAACATATGAATCAACTCGTGTGTTAAAGTACTTAGCACATAGTTTTGGTTGGTACACATATTGTAGCAAATTATAACCTAAAGCATACGAAAAATATTGTACACTAATTACATAGTGGAATTTTATAAGTAACATTTACCTGATTGAGTTCTGCGTCATAACCGCCGGAAACTGTTTCCTCGCATAAATCACACGAAATATGTCGGGCGATATCGAACTCGCTGAAATTATTGAAAATAAAAGACAATGAAAATACAATTGTTTATTCTTAAACAGAATATTATCGTAGAATATTTTTTCACTGCTACATAAGGGTGTCTCGCAGTAAGCGAAAGAAATTCTAACAGATATTTATACTGTAACTAAATTGAGATAAAAATCGAAAGTTGATTAAAATACGCCTTTGAAATACTGTTAAATATTCCTAATTTCTTCTCGAAGCTTTCATAAACACGTTAATTCTATCATACTTTTAAATTCTGGCTAAGAAAAATACAGTACAATTTTAATTATTTTTCATAGCCGTATTAGTGAAGATAGGAATATAATATCGAAATATGATCCGCATTTCTTCCTTGGGTCATCTTCTGAAGAATATGTGGTATAGTTACGATGATGAGAGGAATATCGCGAGTATTTTAACCCATTTGCATCATGGCTCTGCTTAAGGTGCGGTGTTCAGGCATCAGCGACGTTCAACTGACGACTAGTCCGTATCGGCAGTTAAAGGGATTTTTACGATAAAAGTAAAACTTGTTAAGAATATAATGAACCAACGTAGATGAGATGCTCGCAAAAGGGATCAAACGTGATCTGTGGCATATGAAGAATATTCAGCAACTGGTAATGGAAAAAGTCAGCTCGCGGAATATTCCGCGCTCGGTGATAGACGACAGTCGTAACTCGAGGAATATTCCGCGCTCGGTGATAGACGACAGTCGTGGTTCGCGGAATATTCCGCGCTCGGTGATAGTAGACAGTCGTGGTTTGCGGATTATTCCGCATTTGGATGCATATGAGTTAAACTCACGTAGGACGCAGGTACGTATTCGCGAGGAGCACCCCCGCTACAACAAGCTCCACACCACAGCAGGCGGGTGGGGGGGGGGGGGGAACGGCTATTCACTAACCGAAGGGAACCTACACACGCACTGTCACACCAATCAATACAAACGGAAAATTTTTTAATTTCCAGACGTAACGGTATATAAGATACCTCATTTAAATCGATCGAATCGAATAATTTCGAAATTAATAATACCAATAAAAAATATTCTAGACGAAAATTGACTACTTAGGGAAGGTACATAATTTGACATGACTAGGTTTAAAAATAGAATTTTGAACAAAAATGAGCTAAAAAATGCGTTACAAGAGGAATGGGCAAAAATTGATAAAAATATAACAAATAATTTAGTTGCGTCAATGCCCAAACGATTACACGCCATAATAGACAGTAAAGGATATTCAATGAAATACTAATTCATTTATTAATTTGTTATTTTGTTTAGTAATTCAAGAAAGTATGAATACTTTTTTCCCAACGTATTAAGAATTTTATTATGTAATTTATACTAAGATGCTTCAATTTTAATAAAATATATATATCGTTTAAAAGCTGTATCAATTGCCTACACTGTACTATATCTCATTATTAAATTAATGCTCTGTAGAAAATGCGCTTATGATGCAAATGGGTTAATAGTTTTGTAATAATGCGACGTAAGATATTCCATAACAATATGCAGAGCATAAGGAAATTGCACTGCTAAAATAATGAACGTGTGTAGTGGAACATGTACACTTGTACATAGAGAGCTTCTAACAATTAAATACCCTTATTTTAATATATAAAATGAGGACACTGAACTGAGATGTTTGGAATAATATATGTATAGCAAGATAGAAATACGAAGATTGTATCAATAAAATCATACAATAGTTACTCTTACAGTACATTTATTATGATTACTGTCTTAAGGCTGCTATAAGCACTAACAAATGAATCAACGACATATTGAAATTTTTTACGTTTCAATTATCGAAAAAACTATATCAAAAATTTATAAACTAATTATAAAGGAAAAATGCTGATTTTTTGATAAAAAAACATTTAGAATAATATCAATAAATAATTAATTTCGTGATAATAACGATATATATAATTTTGCTATTTTTATGTAAATGAATACCTAAACCAAAGTATTCCCAATAAAAATAAATACCCTAATTCCTAATTTCTAATTCCTAAAATACCAAGGTACACCGAGGAAAAATATACCCAAGTCAAAACTATATTGCTTTAATTCAGAAAATCACTATACGTTTTCGAAGTTTCATTTAAATATCTTTGAAATTGGCGGAAATAGAATATTTTGCAATGTAGTTTAATTACGTTGACTATCATTTGTTTCCCGCAAACTGATTAACTGTGTGACCCTTTGTCTATTATTTATATTTTAAATTTGCAATTTTTTTTGAATAAGAAAATGACTTATAATTACAAGTTATTAAAATTAAAAATAACAAGTAAGTGAAATATTTTTTTAGTCGCAATAGAAAACGTTATTAAATTTTATATTCTTGTTGCAACAATAAAATTTTGAACTCGTCGATTGGTTCCTCGCCAATTTTGACAATTTACTTCTACCAATTATACGTCATCGGTCTTAATTCCCGAGATATTGACAAAATTCCATGGTTACTATTCCACTAAGCTCTGCTCGTATGTATGCAACTATGAGATAATTGTTCGGCACGTTTGTACCCAGCCTCAGTACCTGTTAATAAATAGATTACTTGTACTAAACGTTGTTATTTATTCATCGAAACAGCGGCGTGAAAACTGTGACCTCATTGCTAATTTCTATAGTATGAAAGTTAATAAAACATTTGTTTGAAATTTCAAAACTTGGGCAGAGAAAAGAGAATGTTCTCTTCCCTATACTATCCAACCTGAAAAATAAAACCTCTTCCGGATAGAGAGCAGTTCTTCGCTTGGTTATAGCAGAAAAAACACCCCACATTAATTTAATTAATCACTTTTTCCAATTTTTTAACCGATAATAATTCCTACAGCATTGTTTTGAAGAGTAAAGAATATAAATAATCTGTCGATATACAGATATCAATGGTTCGTGTGATTTGATTCCTTACATTGCAAGCATGTCGACCGTGTCAGCTTAATATAATTAGTTTATAGATAGATATATAGTAGTCCCTTTTTGCTATCTCGGAAATTAGGGTCGACCACTAAATTCTTCAAAACAAAACGTTATTCGGAATAAGACCCTTTATAACATATTTCGAGTCCAGCAGAATCGGTAAATATATTCCACAAATAAATTCAAAAATGAAAAAGAATATAAATCATTTATAAAAATTGCATAACCTCAAAATCTCAGAGTTTTAGTATTATTAATTTCTACTCTTCAAACTATTTTCTTATTATTAGTTTTTTATACTTATGCTTTTGTTTCATCTATCGACTTAATTACAAATAACCTTTCAGTCTTCATTTTCAAAAGTAAACAGTGACTCGAAATTCGGCTACTATATGACAATAAAAACATACATTATTCAAAAGAAAATTTCATATATATAATTGAATAGAATTTTACTTTAATAGTTTAAGAGATCATTTCATACATCTCAATAAAAAATATAGATTTTATGCTTATTATGTATTTAATTCTTCATAAAAATAAAAATTATATATTGTTATAAGTGATTTATTTTAACCCTCGCATGATCATGACCAGCTGCGATGACTGCTGAGAGTTAAATGGTGCATATACATGACTCACGCTGAACC